CCCCCACCCCAACACAGTGGGGCCACTGAGGACAGGGGGAGATAAAATCAAAGTGTTCAGCTCAAGCTTGGGCTTCCAGTGCTTCAGAGATGCGGGATGGCATTTGGACAGGAGAGCAGGTGAAACAGGCACCATGAGCCAGCGCACTCGGGGGGCGGATGGGGGAGGGGGCGTGACCAGAAGGCGCCGCACTCTTCAGGGCCCCATGGGATTCTGCAAGCCAAGAGAGGAAATCAGAACCAGTTTAGTGGGTCAAAATCCACAGCAAAGTCACAAAGATTCAGCTGCAGAGGGGATCCTGCACAGGACCGGAGATCCATGGGCGCCGCGCTCTCATGCAGCCTGAAAGACCTTTTCCTCATTCTTACAGCCTTGGCTTTCTGAAAACTCACAGCCAGCATGTATCCTGTGTGAAGCGCCTCACATTTCTTTAGTGTGAATGACTTCCACTGTCAAAAGGAATCTGAGGTATTACAGCTGTATTATATTTCAGCTGACAAAATGCCCGGCATGAACTCCTGGTTAAGTGATACTTCTGTACTATTAAGATGGAGAATGTGATATAAATTGACATCTCTAAATTGCATGTAGCATGTCACTGTGAGGGTCTGCTTTTATATATATATATATATATATATACACACACATAAACTGACAGGTGTGAAATAAGAATGCAATGAAAAAAGCCAATGAAATGCATCGCTCATGGTCACATGACCCAAAGGGCTCGGAGACTCACACCGCCAGAAACCGATGCACATGCCGCACATGGCGCAGACGTTGGCGATCTGGAGGCCACGGCCGCACTCGGGGCTCATCAGGCAGTTGCGCACCTTGGCACAGCAGTGAGCGCAGCCGGACTGCGTGTCCTGTCGCTTCACATCCCCGTCCTCCTCTCGCCGGCTGAAGCAGCAACCCATATTGGTCCCTTCTGCGGGGCAAATATGCATATGCCGTCTCATAGCTTTATGCTGGTCATACTCCTATCCCATCCTGCTGCACGACCCTCCCATCCCCTTCTGTCTCACCCTCTTTCATCCCCTGCTGTCTCACCCTCTCTCTTCCCCTTCTGTCTCACTCTCCCCCATTCCCTGCTGTCTCACCCTCTCACACCCCCTTCTGTCTCACCCTCCCCCATCCCCTTCTGTCTCACCCTCTTTCATCCCCTGCTGTCTCACCCTCTCTCTTCCCCTGCTGTCTCACCCTCTCTCACCCCCTTCTGTCTCACCCTCCCCCATCCCCTGCTGTCTCACCCTCTCTCATCCCCTGCTGTCTCACCCTCCCCCATCCCCTGCTGTCTCACCATCTCTCATCCCCTGCTGTCTCACCCTCCCCCGTTCCCTGCTGTCTCACCCTCCCCCGTTCCCTGCTGTACCCTTTTACTGTCCAACACCAACAAAACATCAATAGTATTATTATTATCATAATAACAACAACAACAATAATAATAATAGTTGCAATTAGGCTATATATATCCAGCATGTAACCTCATTCTTTAAAAATTTTGTGGATTTGGCTGCTTGGTTATTTTGATGCCAGGCTACAGTTTAAGCTAAAATTAAAATACATTGCAGATTCTTATCTTTTTTTTTTGGAGCCACAGGTGAGCGATTTCGGAGCGGGGAGCGGAACGGTCTGCAGTGACTGACGTGGCAGCGTACAGTGTTAGGGTAGCGGAGCGGTCTGCAGTGACTGAGCGGCGATGCGGGGCCGCGTACCGTGAGCGGGGAGCGATAAGGAGCGGAGCGGTCTGCAGTGACTGAGCGTTGGTGCGGGGCCGCGCACCATGAGCGGGGAGCGGAGATTCTCATCGCTCCGCTCCGATCTCATGCTCTGCTGTGCGCTTGTACGAAAATAATTAACGACTTGGTGTAATCTGTGGACCAAACTCTAAGAAAACAATGATCACCAAAGCCGTGGTTATAGTTGAGCTAATTTGTTAATTGGCACTGCATTGGTGAAATTAAATCAAAGGCACGGAAAAGTGGAGCCGAGAATGAGAGAGTGAAGAAAAGAAAAACTGAAATGACTTTTAAAAACGGTCAGGGAACAACCATGCAGTCAGTCATGTTTAGACAGGACAGTTTCCTGCTCCGGGCGGACGCCTGTCTGGACTCCTTTTCACCATCGTCCGCTAACCAAACAACACCAACACCAAACGAATGATATTTCCAATGTTATCAATTTCACTGAATTTGACTGGAAAATACTCCAATTGCTTACATAATCGAAAACGAACGAATTTTCTCGGTAACCGGTTACCCGGTCCGTGTAGTAGGTCTGGTACTGACTCGGGTACGCGCCTGTCAAACGCTGCGAAGAAACTTTGCTACTTACATCCGTGGTTTTATTTGTAGTAGATGCCGTTTTTCAAATTGCCCAAAGGAAAAAGTGGTCCAAAGACCACACGTCCATTTGAGAGTAGTAGGATATGTAATGTGACCATAAGCAGCAATGAAAAGGGTTCAAATATCACTATCAGGGCATGACTGCGTGGGTGTACATTTACTTTATCTAACAGTCTGTAAACTCTCAGCTGTGCAACATCTTTTTTTTCCAAGCAGTATTTTACTGGATCGTCCCGTATTGAAAAAATAAAAATTCGTGTCTCCTTTAGAACCAGCATTATTCCGGACAGCCTCATCCAGACGGAAAGTCTCAGGATCCTCGGCCTGAGCAAGTCCGGCCCTTTCCTGGAGGTAATACAGTATCATGGAAAGCTAATTAAAATGCTACTTACGCATATCTTATGTGCACCTCAGCAGTTTACTGGTGTGATAAAGGGCACAACAGTTGTCCGACAGATGACCCATTCCAGCTACATTGCCGACTGCCTATACGAACTGTATCTAAGTCGTTTTTCCTCTTTAGATCAGTGATAAGCTGCTGTTTATTCACGCAGATTCACTTCGTGTAAGACAGAAATGACAGGCACGCAGTACTGCGCGGAGGCGCGGCGTGGAAATGAATAACAATGATAATGAATAGGCTTCCATGTTACTCTCTAATTGAAGAAAGAACAAGCAGAAAACTTTGGTTCTTATTCAAAGCGGGGATTTAAAGTCACTTTAAACCAGTGAGATGCCAATGTGCCGCTGGAAACATCAAAGACCGTTCCAAATGTGGAGTATATTTTAATATCCAAAACGTAGAGTATTTTAATGAGAGGGCGTCGACA